GAGCTCTCTGCTGATGCCTGGTATTGGAGGATAGATTCGCATTGGTACATGGTGGTGTAGGGCATCTGTCCCAGGTGATCCCTGAAGTGAAGCCCAACGTGAAGGCGGGTAAGGCCCAGGCAGACCAGGGGTTCTCCTCTAGCTGAGCAGGTGGGGCTTTCCCATCTCTGTAGCACTCACCAGGTGATGGAGGCCCCATTCCCTAGGAGCCTCTGGATCTCCTCCCTGCATCTCTGCTGATGCTCAGGGTGCAGAGCCAGAGCATAGAGGATCCAGGAGATGCTGCTGGCTGTGGTGTCATGGCCTTCAAACATGAATGTGTCCACTTCAGCATAAAAGTCCTTGTCAGATAAGCTGCTCTCATTCTTCATCTGGGGAAGGCATGGAGGGAGTACAGGGTTTGCCCTGTCTTCTGCACTTCAGAATAAAGCTTCAGGTCTCCTCTATACACACTCACTCTGTCAAAGAGGAGAATGTCCAGGAAATCCAGGTGCCTCTTCTTCCTGACCTCCTCCAGCTTCCCCTCGTCTTTCAGATATGCCTTCCTCACCTTGATCACTCGATCTGTCCCAGAACAGTGATTCCCAGGAAGAGATGAGAATTCCGGGTGCCCAGAACCAGCCACCTACGGTAGCCCCATTGGCCCCACATTGCTTGAATCTGGGTGCCAGTGGATGAAGATTAGTGTGGGAGTAGGTATACACACCAGGGGTGAGTAACCTGCCTCATCTGACTGCAGGTCAGGCCTCCCCTCAGTAAAACTGCCCACGGAGTAGGCTCTGTTTGAATGCTGCCCGGAGGGCGTCTCATTCACCATCACCAATGTGGTGTCACTCGTAAACTCCTGCTCGCCCCCTCAAACACTCTTCTCCCGGTTCCCAAGCCTTGGACCAGGGCAGTACCCAGTGTGGTTGTGTCTCCGATTCTGAAGGGGCAGCAGGGAGCTCTTCCTGAGTATCAGAGTCAGTGAAGGGTCCATAATAACCAGACCCAACTTGAGTGCTCTTAACCAGGAGACGGTTTATTAGCCGGCCGCTGTCCTTGCAAAGGAGCAGCCCCGAATTGCCAAGATACAAGGTTTTTAAGCCCCAAATCCCATTCCTCATTCTGTCTTAAACACAAAGGTCCATCTTTCTCCTATTCACTACCTGTCAACCCACTGGTCAGGTGTGCAAGCAGGAAGTACAGAAGCAGAAAGCTTGTTGTTAGAATGTTATGTTCCTATGGGTGATTGCCTATGTTCCCATGGGCAATAGCCAGTGTTCCCATGGGCGATGGCCAAACAGTAATTTTCAGCTTATATACAATTGATTATTTTTCATGCCACGCAAGCAAGCAGGGTTACACAGGCTAAAATTGGCAGTTAGCGTATGAGCTCATTGTTACAAGTTTCATGATTAACAGAATGTGGTTAGGGGTTCCAGAAACTAGGCCTAAGTTATAGACTTCCTTTGTCCAGTTTCAGGTTTTAATTATTCTTTAACCCTTTCACATTTCAGCAGGCTATTACATCAGTTCTTTGAGATGAGCCTGATGAAGAGGTGAGCAACCCAGGAGGTGGAGTCTAACCTGTGTGTTGATGGACAAGTTGGCAGGCTCGGTGGTTCTGGCGGCCATTAGGAGTCAGCCTGTAGATGATGTTGTTCTGGTAGAAGAAATTCCTTACTCGAGAAGTAAAGAGATTTTTTTTTATGTCCCTAATGGCCTGAGAGTAGGGTTGGTAGTTCCTGAAGAAAGAAGTTGCAGAAAAGACTGGAGTGTTGGGAGGCCTCTGATCTGGAGGTCAGTGGGGCTCTAGGTGGAAGTTTCCCCAGACAGTAGGGACAGGCAACCCTGAGGCATTCCTCACTCTGACTTAGAGCCCTGAGACCCTCAGTCATTTATAAGGAATATGCCCAGCCAGGCTTCTCCTTGTGCAGGGATCAGGGTTGCTCTGGTCTGGGATTTTTCCATGGTCTGCATACAAGGGGTAAGTGCATACAGTTGATAAAAACAAAAACCCTGCAGCTGAAGGATTATCACTGACCTGTCTGTCTGGATGTTGCCCTCATAGCTGAAGGCACACTTCATGAGGGTGTCCAGGGTCATCAAGGAGATATGTCCCATGACCTCCAGATGTGAGTCCTGGCTGATGAGCTCCTCTCATTTGTCCTGTGGTGGGAAGGGGATGTTGACCCTACTCTAGTCCCACAGAGGTCCTCTGCTCACAAGGCTATTCTCTCTTTCTGTCTCTCCAGATATCCTGTTTGGAATCCCTCACTTTCCAGAACAGGTGCATTACAGCATCTTAAGACTGTAAAGAAAATTTTGTAAAGTGAGGCCTCCAGTCTCAGAAAGTTCTTTATATAATTAAACCTGTTCTCTTACAATAGTCTAAATTTTGGGAATAAGTTATGATGAAAACAACCTTTTGGTATACCAGCAAACATTTTTTCTCAGGGGATAAAGTAGAAAGCTTCTCTGTCCTGGGTTTGATCTAGACCTGAGGGACAGATACACTCTCCAACTCTGGGTAACAAATGTGTCAATGCAAGAGGAAGTAGAAGGGCCTAGTTCTGGGGCCATTATTTAGACTAAAAAGTCCCCAAATGAATGTCGTCAGTCTCTTCTGTGTGTTGCCTGTATACCCATTTGTCATTCTCACACTTTTTCTTTCTTCTTCCCTGAAATGAAGTTCTCAATATTATATGAAGTGTCTCTCTTCTCTTAGAGAAGATAGATGGAAGAGAGATAGTATCTTCTCTATGGTGCCAAGCCAGATGTGTCTCATCACCTCAGAGGCCACAGAGTGGGCAGCTGTCCAGGAGAGCCTTAGAGTTGTCCAGGTAAGTAAAGGTTCATGGCCAGTAGGAGAGAATGTCAGACCCCAAGCAGCAAACATCTGGTATTGCCTTCCCCACTGGACAGCCCATGCATCTCTGGTCAGCTACCGTGAAGGAAGAGGGTCTTCTGCAACCCTGCCACATTTGGTGACTGTGTGGTACGGGTCCTTCTAACCCTGGTCCTGTTCCTTTTGTCCTCCTTCACCAGCCTCTCTCAAGCTGGGCTTGTTCTCTTGCTGTTTCTGAACACAAGTCATCCTGTCATCCTACCCTCTGCCTTGTCTATGCCAGGGCCCTGGGTGCCACAGACAGACCTCTCAGCAGCCCTCTGAGTGTGGTGGGATGCTTTTTTCTGCCTCCCTGAAGGGCTTCTCCCCAGATGGTGCCTGCGTCCAGGACCTCCCTTCAGTCCTTTTGCCTTGTGGTCACTGGGCTCGTTTGCTCTACTCTGACAAGGGGCAGGGTGGGCACTCAAGGCTTGACTAATATATAGAGCAGGAAAGTGAGCTGAAAGCATCCCGGACAGAAAGTTAGGCAGGTCCCTTGGCATCAGATGGTGCAGAAGGACTCAGTAGCCATGCTCAGAGAGCACAGGACAATGGAAACTTGGAATTCCAGGTGGTCAGCCATGGACACGGTTCTAAACACAGGATTCCACAGGTAAAACGGGTGAGAAGAGTGACCAAGAGGTGACTCTGCTGGCTCCAGGCAATGGGGAAAGACCCAGGCTGCGTTCACACTCACACGCACAACCCATGAAACATTCATAGCGACAGTCTATGCAGCCATACCTGTACATGCCCCTCACACACCACACTCAGCCCTCACACATGTGCACACAAGCGCCTTGGATCAGAGGAGGCAGCAGGTGTGTTTGAGAGCTAGAAGGATGAAATGGAATTCATCTTTGGTGCCCTTGGGTCCCCAGGCTCCTTCCGCCCCTCTCTTATGGAGTCTCCCACTTCCCTCTGGTTCCAGAGCTCTCATCTCTGTTTCCCAGCAATACATGCCCTCAGACAGTCAACAGTTCTTATGGAGTCTTGGTCAAAAGAGTCCAGATCAGAAGGCTCAGCTCAAGCTCCTCCCTAATGAACATCTCAGTAGGTTCCTTTCCTTGACATTGAAGTGGATTAGTGGCTTCCTCTAGTCTAGTCTCACAGATCTCCTGACAGTCCAGAAATAAGAAAAAGAGAAATATTTTAAACTTTGATACCACCAGGTTTAGTAATGACCATTGGGCTCAGCTCCCAGGTGATGGCCCTAGAAACTTTGTTTTCATTTGTGTAGAGAAAGGTCAGTCCAGGGTCAGGACAGAGGGGGACATTGCTGTACATTTTGGCTAAGGATTCTGCATTCTTGCTGTACGTGGGCAAAGAAGTTTAGGTCTTGACAGGGCTTTGCAGGAGTGAGCAAGTAGCCCATGGCCAACATTCCAGGACTGTGGCCTCCTTCTGTGAGAGGAAGCATGAAAACTAAAAAGGATGTGTCTACAGCTGGTACATCCCTTGGGCAACGTAGAGACATCTCCAAGTCCCAGGTAAAAATTCTCTCTCGTCTCTTTCCAGTGACCAGTACCCTCCCTTCCATGCCTGTCTAATTCCAGACTAGAGCCCGCTAATGGCCTTAGAACTTGAACTCTAGAGGTTTATGTACCCCCAACCATCAAGTAGCTGTTGCAGGGGTAACAACTGGAGAAGTATCTCTGATTCATCCTGTGGCTCCAGACTGAGGCCCTCCCCAAAAGTCCTTCTTTGCTCCTCATACCTCACCCTGCCTCTAGGTGTGATTCAAGCACCATCTCTACCAGGAAGCCCCTCTCTGATGCCATTCTGCCACTTTCCCCAGCCAAAGCCCTAATAGCCAGAACATCGATGACTGTGACACAGATGTTGACGATGGCAGATGGACTACAGAGTCCTTTCTCAGGAGGGCAGAAGACATACCTGTGAAACCACACATCTTATTCCTTGACCTTTAGCGGTAGCTATCTGGGAGTTTGCTTTAGAAAATCATTGTTTTGTACATATTTGCTTTAGGCAAATTTTCCTTGTGTTATATTCCAAATATGCTTACATAATGTTAAACAAAGATACTCATTTCAGTGAGTGGGCAAGCCCTGAAAGCCATCCCTCTATCATATGGGGTGGGTGAGTACCTGCCATAACAGTGAATCCCAAGACACAGCTTCCATTGCATTCAGTGTGTCACTCTGCCTGGAATGTAAGTTTCTGCTATGTTTTAGAAAGGCTGACAATTATGGAGAAAAATGAAGATTCCAGAAGCAAGTAGATGCTCGCATATTTGTTAAATGATTGTGTTAGCTCTGGAATACATGAATAGTAAGCATTTATAGACACACATGTTTACATGGCACCATCTTTGGGCTGATTGTCTATGCAGGTACCAATCTCCCTCTAAACTACAGGTCTCCCAAAGGCAGGGAGCCACAGCTGCTCCACAATTCAGCCTGGGGAGGGCGATGCTCAGAAAGAGGCCAAAGCCTGGGTTGCCTGGGGCCCTAATCTTGGCAGAGCCCCTTCTCAGAGCTCAGGCCCAGTGGCTTCAGGTGGAGGTAGATGCCATTCTCGGAGCGCAGGACCAGCTGCAGGGTCTTGATGGGTGGCCGCAAAAAGTCGGGGACAAACTCAAAGCGGAGCAAGCAGAGGGCCGTGATCACCTTCATCTCGTTCATGGCAAACTGCTGCCCAATGCAATTCCTGCAGTGAGCGGCAGCACAAAGAGGCGTCAGGCTATGGGGTGTCTGGAGTGATGAAATCCAGTGTTCTCAAAGCCAAAAAAAATTATTAACAATGTTTAAATGAATCATTGTCTGATCAATTGATCGATCTAGGTAAGTAACAGATCTCGGGAACATGGTAGAACTCAAGCTGAGTAGATCTCATTGGGAGTTCAGGCTTTTGGGGGCCTCTCAGAATGATATACCTACAATACCAGCTTCCAGGGACATGAATATGTTAATGGCAAGAAAATGTCCCCAGAATTTACCCTACACTAGGAACACCACAAACCCAGCATGGTCCCCTTCATCACTGAGTTCATCAAAATGATGCCTGGCCACGACATCCCCCACACTCACCCCCACCCCAGTCCAGAGAGCCTGGAGGTATTGGGCCTCTCCTTACCTGGGCCCTGCAGAGAAGGGCATGTAGGCGTAGGGATGGCGTTGGGACGTATTCTCATTGGAAAAGCGCATGGGGTCAAAAACCTGAGGGGACAGGCCTTGCCTAAACACCAGCCAGGTCCACAGGGAGGGTGACCCCACAGTCCCCCATCCCCCCTGACCTTTTGGCGCAGGTATGGGTACCTCAGGGTTGGGCCATACTGTGCTGTTTCTGTGAAGGGCATAGATGTGCAGAGAGATCAGGCTGCCTGTGAGCAGAGCAGAGGCCAGGTTACCAAGGTTCACAGGATGGCCAGGCCCACCTCCTCCCAGGGCCAGAAAACTCTTGTATCCTCCTGACTGGGCACCAGCCCCTGCCTCAGCACCGCCAGTGACAGAGAGGTCATGACATCGCTCCGCATATAGAAGTGCTTTCAATTGTCATCACATATAGCTACTTCATGTAGCCCAGCAATGGGCACAACACTTGACAGGCATTTGTGGGACAGAAAAAAGAGGAAGGCACCACCCACCCCACTGCAAGGCAGACAGACAAGGACTCTTACATACTTTATGCTTGCAATTAAATGACTCCCAATGCAAGTTACCACGCATTACATTATGACATCAATAGGAATAGCTACCATTCACTGGGTGCTTACTATGAGCCAGATACAGAGTTAAACACTCTTTACAAAGCCCCCACATGCAGTTGTACAGGTTGTGCACTGCACAGCAACACAGTCCATGGAAGTGATGCCTCCTGAAGTTGTTTAGGGCATAGCCTGCATGGTGGTATGTGACAGCCCTGATGAATATTGTCTCTTTAATCCTGACAATAACCTTGTAGGTCAGGTACTCTTCTCACCCCATTTTACAGAAGAGGAAATGAAGGCTTAGAGGTAGAGGGATTTAATCATATGCTATAGATCCAAGATTTAGACCCAAGATTTGGACCCAGGCCAAACGCAAAGTATAGGCTCTTCACCATTTGTGCAAAGATTTGGCCAAAGGCACAGAAAGTGTCAGAGGAGCATCTCTAACAATTGCAGTTCTATCTAAGAACCAACTCCATCCCACCTGCAGGTAGAGAGCGGCCATCCACAAAGCTGACAGGCTTGCTGAGCTGGCGGTACACTTGGGGCACAGGTGGGTAGAGGCGGAAAGTCTCCTTGATGCACATGGTCAAGTAGGTCATCTTGCCAAGGTCCTCCCTGCCAGCAATACAACCTGTCCTTTCTGGAGATAAGGACTGAAGAAGACAGTTCCAGCCCCAAATTCTCCCTTTGCCAACATCTCACACCCCAAGAGTCAGAGAGACACAAGTGCACAAGTGTTCAGGCCAGACTAGACATGGGGTAGCCACTTGGGCCCAGGGGTTCTGACTCCACTTTTCCCCATCCCTCCCTCATCTTCACTACTAGCAAGAGAAAGCACAGGACCCTGGGTGTATGTGCACCCAGACATGAAAGACAAGGTCACTCCTATGTCTCTCAGAGCCCCATAGAAGCCCCACGAGGACAGTTCTGTAGATTTTGTTTAGTTTCTCCTATGGAGCTGGAGTGGAAATAAAAAGGAGCTGATATTCACTGGTTGAATTAAGTAATAAATGTATGAACAATGACAACTTCAGGTAAATATATATACATATATATACATATATATGATATATATATTTGTATATGTCACAGGTATGTGTGTGTATTTCTCCTTTCCCTTTGCCACTAGGAAGCTCAGAACTAAATTTGAGGTCCAACTACAATTACTTCGCAAAACCCTGTTACAGAGTACCAAGCCCAAGGGTTCACCCCTCACATCCTCGTTATTCATTTGTCTTCATGGATAATACATTATTCATAATGTATTATTGAATAAGTATCCTTCAAGTTGCTTCAAGCTCTAGAGAAAATGAGGTAAAAATAAAACAAAGATTTCAACTTTCTCTCTCTGTGCTGTGTTCACATCTAGAATGCCCAGCTCTCTCTCCCTTTGCCTATATGAGTTCCATACTTCCTTAGAAAGCAAATTCAAGTCTCACCTCTTCTGATTCCTCGCCCACAACATGGGGACACTTAATCCTACCCTATTCTATGGTTTTCTCTAGATTTTTATTTACATGAGATTCTCTCTCTAAAAACCCCCGAGGGGAGCCACTTGGCTTCTCCTCCTCCTCTCCCTACCCTTACCCTCACCAAACCTCCAAGAGCACCTGACACATAGCTGGAAACCCTGGGAGCTTTCCAACAACCAACCGATAAAAGTAAGTCATGAGACTTTGTCCTCCAAATCTTAGACCTGGATTTATATATCCGTCTTCTTCAAATCGATCTAAAATTTCTCCCATCGACTGGCCATCCTGCACCCTTGCTGTGTGCCTAGCCCTGTGCTCGTGCTTGAGCTGAGGTGTATGACAGGAGGGCAAGAGAAAAGGAGAGATGGATGTGAGGGCAGAGGTGGGAGAAGAGCCTATGGAAGATTCTCAGAGCTCCTACTGCACAGAGAGGTCGGCATCAATCACTGTCATGTTAATGAGTTTGACCTGAGCCAAGAAACAGAAGAATCAAAATTTTTTCAGTGATGGAGTTTGGGAAACAGCCCTTTCTCCTTCATTAGAAGAGTGAAGGCTGCACATGGCTTGCCAAAGGCAGGTGGGAAGCAATCAGCAGTCCTGGCTTTCCCAACTCTGTTCATCCCCAATTTCCACCTCTTTCTCTCCCAGTCTTCTCTGCTCTATCCAGGAACCCAGAAGAGTCAGGTTCTGTGATCAGAGTCAGCACATAAGAAATCAGCCTCCTATTGACAATCTTCACTACGTTACTCACATCTGAAAGGCTCTGTTATGGGAGAATGGGCTCAGGGGTGTGTCCACACACGGGAGCACTGATGCCCTCACGTGGTTTCCAGGATGGCTTTGTGTCATCTGCAATGACACTAGATGGCATGGGCACAGCCCTGTCCTGAGCAGGACTGACAGGGCTTATTCACAGCCTCACTCACCACTGGAGGGAGTTCTGGTCTCCAAGGATCTCACGGACCTCCTTCCGACAACGTTGCTGGTGCTCGGGGTATAAGGCCATGCAGTAGAGAAACCAAGAGATGCCACTTGTAGTGGTGTCGTGGCCTGCGAACATGAACGTGTCTACCTCAGCCCGGAGGTCTGCGTCTGACAGCTTGATCCCATTTTCATCCTGGGTTAGGGAGGACATAAGCCAAGGCATTTGAAGTAGGGGCTGAGAAGGACTCATAAGAGTGACTGTCCAATGAAGTCCGAGAAAGGAAGTGAAAGCTCTCTTTCAGACTGGAGGTTAGGACTTTTCTCCAAATTGCTATCTGTTCTCCCAAGCCCAGCTTGGAGGCCTCCTACTCCAAGAAGCCTTCCCTGATCCCTCTGTCCAAGAGACCTGTGACCTTACCCAGACCGTACTGTCAATTCTGCTCTTTTGACACACAGAATGCCACCTTTCACTTTGTCAACATCTACCTCCTGTCTTCTCCACTAGACTGGAAGCATCTAGAGGACAGTACCAGGTCTTTCTCATCTTCTGCATGCTTAGCACAGGAATTAATCCAGGGTAGGGCTCAGTGAGTTTATGGAGTGGATGAGTGAGTGAGTGAATGAATGAATGAATGAATGAATGGAAGTCTAAGACTCTAAGATTCTAGGGTGCTGTGATTCTCCAGTCTTAGAAGTCTAGCCTTGGTCTTCAAGCCTTCTGGCATGTGACCCAGGTTCCCTGCTACTACATCTCTCCCCAGTGCACAGCCAGCTTCACCCTGCACCTTCCACATCTGAGCCTTTGCTGATATGTCATGGGACAAGGAACAGGTCATATTTGCTGGAGAAATAGTAAAAAAAAAAAAAAAAGCTTAACCACCTCTGCTGCTGTCCAGTGAGCCCTGTCCCAGGAGGATATTCTGAAGACCCTGCTGGGACCAGTTCTCAGGTAGGGGTGGGCACTCACTTGAACCCCAAGGAGAATGTCCAGGAAATCTCGGTGCTTCCGGTTCTTAATCTCCTGCTCTTTCTTGTCCTGCAGGGCTGCCTTCCGTTCCTTGATGACTTGGTCTGGGCCCAGAGCACAGTGTGTCACTGCCTGAAAACCAATGATCTGCCCACAGGGGAACTGAGGTCCTGTAATGGGAAGGATCCCAAAGGGCCCAGGAGCTAGACTAGAACTTAGGCTTTCCATAGGGTGGGGGGCTTGCAGGAAAGGCCTACCTCTGTGGTCGTGGGCCACCTGGCAGGCCCGCAAGAAGCGACGGCCATGAGGGGTGAGCCAGTAGATGAAGTCATTATGGTACTGGCTGGACTGGATACGCTGCTGAAGCAGCAGAGTGAGATCTCTGATTGCCCTGTGGAAGCTCCTGTCCCTGCACAGCAGAAGTGGTGACAGGGAGGGGCACTCAGACAACCATTCACAGCAACCACTAAGCTTCATTCCAAGAATCTAGCTCTGACTACAGTGCTTTCTCCCTTCGTCTCCTTGCTATTAAGCCTCCCCACTAAAGCTTGGATCTGTCTCCTCGCCATTAGTAAAACCCACTCCCCCCGATCGAGGTTTCCATAGGCCAGAACCCTGTCTCCTCTCAGACCAGAGTCCAGGAATCCTCTCCCCTCTGAGCTGGCCTGGATTGAGACTGTGGTCAGCCCCAAGTGCCCTCTGACCTGTGGCTCAGGTCGCTGTCTCCTTTGCCAAAGATGCATTTCAAGAGTATGTTCAGTGTCGTGTGGCCCATGTCACAGAAGATGTCAAAGCTCTTACCATCACGAGCCTTTTCCTCCCACTTGTCCTAGAGCCCAGAAGAGGAAGGTAATATGGAGGCCAGCTGGGCTGAGTGTCCCTCCACTGCCTCCTAGGACCCATGGCCTGTTCTCCCCAACAGACACCCAGTCCCTGGCTTGGCATCCATCCTGCTGGACTGTGGCATGGTGGACAGGTAGGGGTTTCAGGCTCAGTGGGTAGAACCAGGACACAGGCCTTGCTCAGCACACACAGATACTTTCTCTCGGTCAGGGGAGCCTATATAAAAGGAAAAGGAGGGCCGAGAAGTGGTGAGCTCCCCAGCACAGTCTGTGTGTAAGTCAGGCCTGTAGTAAGCTGGAAGAAGTATTTTCTGCAAGGGAAAAACTACCCTGAGTAACCTGTGGGGATTATTCAGCTCGCAGACACTGAGCTTTACCCCAGACCCCCCTGCTCCCTGCCCCCTGTCATCCCTATTAGAGATGAGTTGCTAATGGCATTGTTTAGGCAGTTGTGGTAGGTAGAGAATGAAGAGATACTTTTTAGATATGAAAGGCCTTCCCAATATTGTCAAATATAGGCATCATTCAAATCTGCTAGAGTAGGAGCCTTATTGGGGTCTCACAGACACCTGTTGGTCTATGAGGGAAGGTTGGGACCTTGTGGAGGCAAGGGCCATGGCTGCCCGGCCACTCAGAGCTTCAGCACCTAGTTAGCGCCCAGTATGCAGCAGTATCAGGTAGTGCAAGAGATTCCCCTCACTACCCTCCCCCAGAGAATATTGGGGTGGGGAGGGGCTAGCCAGCAGCCACAGCATTGGAGTTCATCAGCATAGCACGTGCGGAGTCGGCAAACACGGCCACGTAGGGCTTCAGCACATCATTATGGAAGCCAGATGAGAGCAGCCTGCGGTGCTGGAACCACTTGGGACCCTGGAGGACCAGCAGGCCTTTCCCTGGGGAAGGGATTGGAGAGGGAGAGCTGATCAGTCCACACAATCCTGTTCCATCCCTGGCAGCCTGGGGCCAAGGATGCCCCACCTCAGTCCTCCCTTTCCAGCCTCATATCCTGACTGAGCTCTGATTTACAGCCATTTAGCATAGCAGCCACTGATGGTATCAGCCTTTGGCCCACCACCCTACCTTCCCTCAAGCCCTTGCCCTGGCCAGCACCGCCTATAATATCTCCTTTGATCACTTTCTCTCAGAGGCTGTTCCTCACACTCACACATTTTCCAGAGCCCTTGCCCTGCCTGTCCAGGGAAGAAGACGCACCCAGTAGGAGAAGGAAGCTGGGCCCCACATCACTGACCAACCAGAAACTCTTCCACCTCTTCCTAGGTCTTCTCACTGAGCACGTGAGCTTAGAAGAGACACGTGGGACCAGGCAGTCTGGTAGATGGATAACTGACTGTGGAGACAGGGCAGGGAAGGATCCTGGTTGCCTAGCACCAGTAACAAAGAGGTACTACTCACCAATCCACGGGACGAAGAAGTCATACACATCTGAGGCCTTAGGATCTAAAAGAGACAGAGAAGATGGAGTCAAGCAGGGACTAGGGAATTCCCAGAGAGACTTACTGATAAATAGGATGAGAACCTCAGTTGCCCAGACTTATGATGCATGTCCAGGACTCCTCTCTACATGGTGCCCTGAGCCCTTTGCTCTCCCAAAGCCCCAACCTCTCCCAGGAGTCCTCACCTCCTCGGCTGTACACAGCCTTGGCATAGTCAGGATCATAGATGTTCAGGAAACCGAGAAACTGTCCAAGCCAGAGTTGGTGGGCATAGGGGAATTGGTGGGCCCAGGACACCATCTTGTCCAGGCTCCCTGTCTTCTGCATCTGCAATGGTGACAGAAGGCCAGGCCACTCAGGTACCCAATGTCACCAGCCAGGCCCTAAGTTCCGTGGCAGGGAAGACAGGAGGCTGCCCAGATAGGCCCTGAGAATGTTTCTCCTTCCTACTCAGTAACCCAGTCCTACTCATCTTGGGCTCAGTTCGTTCTCCAATCCCAGAGCCACTGTTTTAAGTCAAAACCACCCTCTTATTGCACCTGGGTTAGCCGAACAATCCCAAACTGATCAACCTGCTTCTATCTGCTTGCTGGAACCTTCTACCTACATTGCAGCAGAAACATTTCTGCGGTAAAGCTTTTCATAAGAAGGATGATACCAGCTTGTCGTGCAATAAAGAAATCACCTTGATTCCAGTTCTGTTAAGTCATTTGACACATTTTTATTGAGGACCTGTTTTGCGCAGGGCGCTGTCTAGACATCTCAAGGGAATGAGACAGACACAGTCCTGACCTTTCATTCTATGGGGAAGACTCATAAGAAACAAGTGAACCATCATGTAAAATGATTGCAGACAGCAGTGAGTGCTAAGAAGGAAATAAACACAGTGCTAGCGAGAGACTAACAGGGAGCACCTGCTTAGATAGAGTGATCTGGGATTGCCTCTTGTTGGAGACAACATTTAAGGTGAAACCCAAAGGATGATAAGGAGCTGGCCACAGGAAGAGTAAGGAAACAGCCTTCCAGGTAGTGGGAACAGCAAGCACAGAGGCTCTGAGGTAGGGAAAATATGTGGTATCTTCCAGGAGCTGCCACTCGGTGAGATAGTGAGCTGAGATGAAGTTGGAGAGATCATCCAGAGGGTGGTGTGTACTCTTTGGGGTTTTTTCTAGCCACATTTATTCACCCAGAGGTGTTTTATGTAAATATAGAGTATACAATAAATACTTTTCCAAAACATGCCTTTTTCATTTACCATATACTGTCCTTTAGAAACTAGTTCACTTAAGTATCTCTTAATATTTTTAACGAGTACATAGTATTCCGCCATAAGGATACACCATTATGTACTCATCCAAGTCCTTATTTTGAAGGACTTTTTCAGAGGTACACTTAAAACCTTTTAGTGGCCTGTCCGTGGGCCTCAGAATAAAGTCTGAGCTCTGCAATTTGTGAGGCGATATAGCTAATTTTTATTAAGCACTACTGAGTGCCAGGGTTTCTTCTGAGCACCTTATTTACATCTTGATCTCATCCAATCCTCACAACTCTGTGAAGTCCTATTTTAGGGACAAGGAGCCTAAGGTATAGGGATCTGAGATTGCTGGCCAAGAATGGCACAGTTTATAAGGGAGCAGGGATGTGAACCAGGAAAGTTTACTCTGTGGTCTGCAATCTTCAGAGCTTGACAGACCTGGGTTTGAATATGGATTTACCCAGTTTTTAGATGTGTGAACTTGTCAAGTTCTTTAGGCTCTCTGAATCTTACTTTCCTCATCTGTAAAATGGGGAAGATAATACTTAGCTTATGGGATTTCTCATGTGCCCTCCTCGGCTTTCCCTGCCAACTTTCTGATCACCATGATTGATCCCCTTCTCTCCATCCCTCCTAGGTCCAGGGCGCCCAACTAGACAAGAGGCAGAGAGAGGCTTAAGTCACTGAGAAGCCAGACTCACAGGATCTCAGGGGTGGAAGAAGCCCTTGGCTGATCTGGTCCATTTGAGCTCCACTCCTCTCCCCACCAGGCATGAATGTGCCCCTCTGTAGCATCCCCACCTGGCACAGGAGACCCTGACATGCTGACCATATCTATAGCCTGAACCAGCCCCTGCATCCCCATGCCTAGCTTTCTCCTATGTGCACTTGATTACCCCAGGAATCTGGTAGAAGCGAGTACAGCTCTTGACACCTGGCCCCACCACTGGAGCTGCAACTCCATAAAAAGGGCTGGAGTGTCCTCTCTCTAGGGGTCACATGGCTGCCTGCATAGCTCCTTTAAGTCGCACAGCTGTATGTCAAAGACCCATCCTCAGATGCTCCAAGCTGGGACTCCTACAGGGCTCTGAGGTCTGGGCCAAGTTGTTTTTCTCCAGAAGGAAGGAAGCAGGAAAAGAGCAAGGCATGGAGATAATTCACTGATCCCAGATCCCCAGCTGTAACCTCTTCCTCCTCACAAGGGATTGGGAGGAACAAGAATAAATTGCTACTCTCTTCTCCGTTCCCCCAGAGTCTAAGATTCACTCTGAGGATCAGACCTGAAAGGGACTTCAACATCACCTCCTTTTTATAGGTGGGAACAGTGTAGCCCAAAGGGAACTGTCCAACATGAGTGGGGCAGATTGAGATCCTGATTAAGGCTCTATCTGCTGCCCCTCCTGTTAACAAGCCCGCCCAAGCTATCAGTCAGTTGAAACTCAGTTGGTGGGTGTTCAAGAAACAAGCTATCCACTTAGCCAATCTTCTACAGCCAAAACTCTCCCAGGGATGCTGCTTGAGAATAAAAATAAGTCTGCTCACAAAAGCAGTAGGAGTTCAGAAAAACAAGCAATTATGAAAGGGAGTAGGCAGGGCTTTCCTCTCCCCCATAATGTTAGGGCTCCCTTGAGGCTGGTCATGCTAATCTCTGATACCCAGTACCCAGAGTTTCCTGGCCCAGCTCCTTCCCCATGTGCAAATCCCTGTCTCAAGAGCGCAAACATCTCTAGTGACAGGAAACTCACTACCTTTCAAAGTATCCCAACCATCTTTGGTCTGTCTGAATTCTTAAAAAGACTTCTTAGTCATCAACCTGAAGGCCACCTGACTGTGGCCTTACCATGAGTCTCTGCTCTGCTCTCTAGGTCCACATGGGCCCCCACTGCCCAGGGAAGACCTGCAGGAATTAGGAGTTGGGGGCCAGATCTTCCTGGGCCCTCTTTCCTCCAGGATGGACATCCTCAGGTGTCCTTGGGTGCTCTAGTCTCAGCCATCTCCCTGCTGCGGGCATTGCCTCCCAACCCAAGATTGGTCAGCACTCAGCATGTGTGTGAGTTTCAGCCACTTTCAAAGACAGCAAAGATGTGTATTCAAAGCTAACGGGTTAAGAGTGCCTGCCAAGAAGAACCAACTAAAATTGAGAGGATGCAAAATCTCTGAAATAACCATAAACACAGTGGAAAAAAATGGCCTCCATTTATACAAATTCTTTGGGGATTCTACAGTGGGGTTTAGCAGAGAGCCATGGGGAACCTGGAAGAAGGGGATCTAATATGTAATTCCATAAGGAGCAGAGAAGTAAGTCCTTCTACCAACTCAAGTGACAAGTAGGTGATTTCATCCTTTATCCTCCCTTTCAGAAACAAGTGCACTGCTACACATGTACATGTGAACATGTGTGAACACAAGTAAACACACAACACGCACAGAAGGAACCTCTGGATCAATAAAAGGAGCAGAGAAATTTTGGGTGAGATCAACATGTAGTTGAGATCACTACAACTCTACTAGACACCATGTACTGGCTAGGATGTGATGATGAACTTTGTCCAAAGTCACCTAACTTTTGATTCCAGGTCTTTCTGTTCCAAAGTATATTCTCTGCCCCATATACCTCCCTGTCTTCAATGCCAAAGATAAACTCCAGCCCCATGGATGAGCCAGTTGAAAGGCATAGGGAACACCTAAAAAGGCAGGAGGGCAAGGGCCCAAGAACTGTTCAACAGTCCAAGGGTTGCAGACATTGGTCCTCACCCACATGAGTGGCTTCACTGCCCCAAGTTGGGTCCCCCAGAGATTCACTCACATATTTAGCAAATGAACATGGACCATTCACTTTCGATGTTGGGCATGGTATAAGCTCCTGGAGACACAATGTGAACAAGACAAAACCATGCCCAAGCTTACATTCCAAGTGGAGAAAGAAAATAAATAAGAATCAAACACAACAGTAATACAATTCCAGCTAGTGATAACTCTAGGAAGAAAATAAAGCAGGATAAGGAGCAGGTCTGCTACTGTAGACCAGGGGTTAGATGGTTCAGGGAAGGCCTCTCTGAGGTGACATTTGAGCAGAAATCAGCAAAAACACTTCTAGAAAGCCCCACAGGTGACAGCACTCATCTCTGCCTCCACTTCTTTTTCCGCCTTAAAAATTAAAATCTTTACACCGCACAGAACAAAGAGGGTGCTGGTTCAGCTTTAAATGAGATTGCCTAATTTTATTAGACTGTCCAGGGGTTTTCCAGTCAATGCTGTTGCCAAGCCCTTAGCAGAGCTTTGTCTGAACCTTGGGCCTCAGAATGATAGGAAGGTGTCTGTGGCCTGCTTGGGCCCCAACTTTCTAATGCCCCCATAAATAGCACTGCAGGCCACCTCAGAAGGCAGGAGTGAGGGAGAGATCTGTGAGAAAGCTGAAGGGAACCTTGGCTCCCAGGATGTCATCTCCCTCCATGGCTCCCTGGGGATTAGGCTGGATCTTCTGAAGAAAGAGGCCATTTTCTTTCTCAAATCCCCCACTTACCTCTTTGAAACCACCACATACCTCATGAATGTGCCCAAAGAGCCAATGAGTGGGAGGCCCTGGGAAGCTGTCCATAGCCCTGGCCAGCGACTGCCTCCGCACCAGCAGACAAATAAGCTTGAGGAAGCATAAGACCAAGATCAGTCCAGAAGCCCACAAGCCCAGGCAGGAGAGGCTCACGGAGAGCGAGACAGGCACCATGGCTGAACAGGCAGGCTTCAGTCTGCCTCCTGGTGCCCCTGGGTTCCCTTATACTCTGGATCCAAGCACCCTGCCAGGTCCCACCCCCAGCCATGCCCTGCAGTCCATAGTAGTCCAGAGTAGGCTGAGCTTCTCTGTAGGGGGGAGACGGCAGACACAAAAGTCACACAAAAGATGAAAAAGACTAGTTTGACTAGTTCCAAAACTCTGCTGGAGAGAAACCATGAGAAAGGCATCTAAGAAACCAGGCAATGAATATCCTGCCTTAGTTCCTTGGAGACCAAAAAGAAGGCAATTCTTGGTACAATCATTGGCATAATGGCTGCCTTTTCACGTAAGCAATCTGTATGTTTCAGGCACTTTCTACACACTATCTAATTTAACCCAGATAAGAAGGTTATAGGTACTTCTTCTATGTCTATTTTCCAGACAATGAAACTAAGGATCAGCTTGCCTATGCTTTCCACTGCCCCTTTCAATATGGGCCATTGGGAAGATTTGCATTTATGCTAGACTCATGATGCTTTGAGTCCTTTTTTGTGAAATGCTTTCAGGGACAAGTTTCTAGCTCCAGAAGGGAGATCCTGGGTCAGAAAGGGCTAACTCCACCCCTAAGACTATAGTACAAACTTGGTACTAAGGAACATAGACTATTACTTCCAGGTTGATGAGGAGAGATCATCAAATACAATCTCTCCTAGATTGATGGAGCAAGCTACTTGGGCCCAGAGAAAGGTGAGGAATTTTCCAAAGCCTCACAGCAAGGGAGTTGCAGCTCTCAATTTCCTAGCCCAGGGTTCTGTTGAAGAACGAGTTTAGCCCCGGCCCCAGCCTTGCTCTGGGAGAATATGCTATTTCTCCTTCCAGTCTTGGGTTGCAACAGTCAGGGTCCCACAGGAAACAGAATTCACTGCAGATTTTTCGGATGAAAAGACATGGATACAGGGCTCCTTTCAGAGGTTTCAGCAGAGTTAAGGAATCAGATAAGGTATGGTATGGCTTCCAGAGACTAGTGATAGCGAGAAACCCATGACATCCCTAGGATGAAGGCAAAGGGGAGGAAATAGCATTCCTGGACCCTGGTGGAGGCAGCTAATCCTAGAGAAATAATGCTGGAGCAGGGAAGAAAGAGAGAAGAAATATTCCAACCTTTTTTCTCACACACCCTCCAATCTCTGAGGGGTATCTCCTATCATCCATACCTAACCAGAAGGGAAATGGCGAGGGAGCCTGGGGGAATGAGCATGCAGAAGTCAGCCTCCCAGTATGGAGGTGGCAGTGGGTAAACTAGCAAACAAGTGGACCTGGAACTCTGATCTCAAGATTCAGATCACATGTGCTGACTCGGAGAATGGTAAAATGTCAACATGGCCTCCATCTCCTCCACTGGAGAAGCAACCTATCCAGTGCTAGCCATAGGCTGAGAAGGCAAGGTGGCAGCACAATAAAAGGAAATTCAAGAGAGTCCCTGAAATTTTACATTTATGTTTCATTTCATTTTAGATCAAAATACTGAGTGCCCCATTTAAAATGTAAGTCACTCAGGTCAGAGAGTAAGGGAGTATGAAGAGCTATCAGCAGACATCCATAGTTCATGGTGAATTCACTTATCAGTGTGGTCTCAGCCTGATGGAGTAATGAAGGGAGTGTTTGGGGAGAGCTTGAGGAAACTCCCACATGATTAAGAAGCCATGGTTCTCGACAAGGACCATTTAGGATTCACCTGGGAAGTAAATAGAGCTAGCCTAGAATATGGTAAGTGGGTATGTTAGACATTGGTTGAATGACTCCCAGCATCCATTCCCTTTTCCCTCTTCTAACCAGTACCATGAATTTATTGGCTTTTGGGTGTAGTGGGCTCGATCTCACTCTCAACTTCAGCAACGTCCCATATTTCTTTAAGACAGTCTGCATTCATGTTGCCCACAGTGATTGACTGTTTCAAGAATAGGCACATGACCAAAAGTCAGTCAATCAGGGCTAATGAAACTCAATTTCAGACTATGGCCATGCTACCCTGAGCATGCCCAATCCCGTTTAATGTCAGAAGCTAAGCAGGGTCGGACCTGGTTAGTAATTGGATGGGAGACCACCAAGGAAGAACAGGACAGGTGCTGTAGGCATAAAAAATAAATAAATAAATAAATAAGTGGGGAAAATAAATAAATAAATAAAAACGAAGTTATGTTTTTTTTTTTTAAAAAAAGAAAACCAGATTTCAGTTTTTAATTTAAGATCTCTGTAAACGGCCTCTCTAATATTGGATTTAAACCTGGAAGCATGTGTTCTCAGGAGTAATTAATGCGGGGAGAGCCCAATGAGAAGGTACTCTAAGCCAAAAGAACTGAATTGAGAAATATACGGAAAGAAACAGAATACTAGGTACATTGTTTAAACTCGTGGATCTAGCTTTACCTGGAAACGAATACCTTTTCATTATGTGAGGCAATAAGTCTACTTTACTGTTTAAATTTCATTTGAGTTGGGTTTTTTATTACTTAAATCGAAAGGATTCCTAAGTAGTATACTGTTAAAAGCCCAGGAAATAAGAAAGGCTTGGTTAAGTTGGACTGAAACATATTTAGGGGTCTAGCCTGTGACAAACTGAATGGAATTAACCTGGGAAGGAACAAGTGGGATTAACATGGTATACTTGGAGTAGTGGATCTAGACTGGGAAGTACTGAGAGGACTCACAGAGGAATTCTAAGTGAAATTAGCCTGGCAAAGCTCCCATAAGAGGTAACAAGACATAATCTGATTATGGTGAAAGTGAAGGGCATGGCTTAGAGGAGAAGCAAGCATCTACGGTATGAGGATGAAGCAAGGGGAGGATCATGTCAGGAAACTGGAGTGTCAAGAGTAGAGTTAGCATGGAGCCTCTAACAGAGGAGTCAGGAGATTGGACTTTGTCTTCTGTACTGCAGGGATGCATGGAGAGGCCTTAAACAGAGGAACAAGGGTGGTCAAAGGTGTGCTCCAGGATAATCTCCCCCTCTGTGTGCACGCAGGGGCTCTGAGCTAGCCCATTGTAGAAGGGGCCTACAGCCTGGGTTGGCAATCAAGAAGAGGAAATCAGAGGGAATATCAGCAAGGTAGATGTTGATTATGGCCTTAGAGGTCTTGCATACCTTCTCCTGCCAGCAGCACGGCCCAGCACTCACAGTCTATTTGTTACATACCCTGCTCTCCACCCACAGGCTGAGATCTGGCAGCCATCCACACTTCTAGAGCCAAAGACAGATGATCACGTGGCCAGAATCAGACACTGGGCAGTAGTCAACTCACAGGCTGAGATCTGGCAGCCATCCACACTTCTAGAGCCAAAGACAGATGATCACGTGGCCAGAATCAGACACTGGGCAGTAGTCAACTCCCAACTCCTACCAGCTACCACCATGGTTGCCTTGAGAGTGTGATTCTTAGAAGCCGAAATGCAGAGCTTCTATCCACTGGTCTTAGTTCTGCCCTCAAGGGCCCAGTAGAAAATGTCAACTGTAAAGAAAGCTCTAAAGAAAGGAGATAATGACTCTGCCTTTATCTAAATGTTTTCCATGGCTCTTCTCCAGAAAGCCTTCCTCCACTTCAGAAACACCAATTAAAGCCAGTTTTCTAAAGCTGCCAACTTAGTCTGCAATTCTTCTTAGATTTGTTCACTTTTTCCCATGCAGCAGTTACCTGAGTGCTTATTGTATCCTCCAGTCTTCCCATTCTGCTGCAAGCCAAAGGCTGAGCTTGTCTTGCCCTTACTTTGCACAGCTGAGCCAGAACAGACAAGTATGCAGTGAACCCATGATCAGGTGCATGAATGAAAGATGGATCACCTTGAGGTGTCTGTAGGCACTGAGTTTTGCAGGACTTGAGAGAAAACTGGCAATGTCCACTCACCACACTGCTCTGCTCTTACCCACAGCTCCATAAACCTTCAGGGAAAACTCTGTGTCAGGGTCCTCTGTGCTTCCCCAGCACACAGTAGGCATTTAATAAATAATTGTTTGTTGAATAAATGTTAAAGGGATCGTCTATTATAGCAAAGGGTATGGGGAGGAGAAGGTGAGGAAAGGTTGACTGGCCAATGCAAAATATATTAGAAATGCCATATCGGTGTCCTTCTGGACAGCACATTTGGCACCTCTTGTGGCTGTATTCCAGAAGCCACCGCCTGGTGGGGAACCCAAAGCTCATCACTGTCCTGAACTTGACCCCTGCCTTCTCCAATTCATTTTGGGCACTGACCACCATAGCAATGAAAACCACCCCTCAACTGAGCACAACCTTACGACACGCACAGAACATTGCCATGCTCTCAGGATCCTCACCACAACTCCATGAAGAAGGCCATGCAAACATGATAGACAGATGTGGGTAAACACAGGGGATAGGGATGCATCAAGGCATCAGACATTTCTAAAGCTCTCAGGTGATTCCAGTGTGCAGCCAAGATCGAGAACTACTGTTCCAGATACAAATTTTCTTCTCCTAAATGTAATCTGGTCCTTCCTCTCCCCTATCAGGAATTCATACTCACCACTGTCCCAGTTTGACTGACATCCTTGAGAAATTGAGATAGGAGTCAGGTTGAAGATGGTGGTCCAAATGGACCTATTTCCTTGTCTCTCTCCCTCCCCTTCTTCTTTCTCTTCTTTCTCCCTTTTCCCTTCTCTCTTCCTCCAGGGATGATGACACAGCACTTCCTGTTTGGCTTTCCCTGGGGAACAGCTTGTCCAGCTGGTGGTGTGACCTCAGGCAGACAGGATTTCTGTTCCCCTCTGAGGGAATCCAAGTAGAGGGAAGACTCTGGCATGTGGACTCTGGCCTGTGGACTTGTACCCGTAATGCCCAGTTCGGCTCCACTTCACTTGGCATCTCCTGGACATAAGTTTCCAACAGTTTCTACCCTCACAGAACTGGTTGGGGCAGTCAGAAGGCCAAACCCTTGCCCTGGCATTCAGGGCTCTCACCATCTAAACTTTCCCTGACCCCTGCCACCTCCTCATCAGA